GTAATGCTAGAAAAAAGCAGCCTCGAGACCGCCAGAACACGTGGCACTGTGACCGCGATTACGACCCTTCTCAGGGAGTATACTCTAGTTCGCTGCGGAGGAAGGGGCGTGTCAGGCAGTGTGAACGTGCAACGGCGCCAAATCCATTCTCTGCCAGTTGTTGAAGCAGTATGCGACAACAGTTGGTAGAAACGAGTGATACGAACGATATGATACAGTCTTGTCACTTGCTCGCTTTAACAACTGGTGGAGAACGGGTTTGGCACCGCGCCAAACTCATCCTGTGCGTTACGCCCCTTCGTCGCAGCGAACTAGATTATAAGTCCGCGCGGCGTCGCGATCGCCGCGCGTACCAATATCATACTGGGAGTTGAAGATGAAACCAATTGTTATTTCGAACCTAGATGATTCTGTGAGGGATTGGATGGATTCAGAGAGTTAAAAAACAGTAATATAATCGAAATACCTACAAAAAATTGAACAGCACATAGTTGGAGTTAATTAGCAAGAAGAAAGAGGGCACTTAGGGAGAAGTTGAAAAGAAGGCTTCCAGAAAGCTTCGGTTGTAAGATAGCAGTGGGTAGGAATTAATACGGCTTTTTTGTCATAGAATTTGATGGTAGAATGAGAAAAAGAAAAGAACCGTATGAAGTTAAAATCAACCCTGTCATTGGGCCGCTTCCTTCTGGGACTTCTGGAGAAAAGGAGAGAAGAAATCAAGCTCCTCCATGCAACTTGAAAACGCCTCTTCTCTTCTGACTCTTCTTCAAGGTTCTCTAGTAGATTTTCACACTATAGAGCTTTTGATGTTCGTTGTTCCCTCCAACTTCCACTTTATTCACTCTCTCCTCAGTTCTTCAATTATCTCATCATCCACTTTTATTTTTGTGATTCTGACTGCTAGTGGCATCCTACAGGATCACCTTTTCCAAAAACGACAAAGTCTATTTCGACTCATAGCGTCTCGTATGCTATTCGCGTGCCGCGATCGCGATGAAGACCTACATCCGCTTCCCTGAGAATAGAGTAGGCGTGGCTTTGAAAAATGACATAGAATGGGTCACTCGTGAGATATTTAAAGGCAGTTGGCACGATAAATACCCCAAGACGAGTAGGATTAATACGCCTGGCAGGACGGAATTCCGCGACCAGGCGCTGCATAATGCCTTTTCCAAGGGAGGTGCCCTTATAAGGGCCCTATCAAGCCACAACATTCCGACCCAAACGCCCGCCACGCCCGCCCGCCCACAAATGGACGACCGTTCCTGACGCTCTAATCGATTCATTTGCTAAGCAAATTATGAAGCGAAGGGATTGGTATGAAGCGGCCGTGATGCTGCATGCATACATGGGTACACATATGCAGCCGTATCTTCGGTAGCGGTTATTGGCAAGATGCCTACGGGAAACTCGTCCAAAATTGATTTTGAACACATTGAGAACGGAGGCTCTTTCTTCGCAGGATTTTGACCGTTTCACTCCGTTCTTTCGCCATTTCCCCACTATATAGCGCCCTACTAGCATTTTAGGCCGAGCACCAAATCATCGTGCCAACTGCCTTTAAGTAAGACAACTGTCATCTTGTTCCTGTCTGAGACCAAGGCACGACCACAATGGTCCCAAAATGGAAATATCTAAGAGCACAGCCACCGCCACGTTTAGTTGAACTGCGCAGCCACGCCTACCGTCTACTGCCTATTTCAGGGAATGCCCTTGAGCGCTATGAAGTGATGGATTCCGTACGGCGTTTGCATGGGATCCTTGCAAAAAAAAAAGAAAAAAAAGCAAACTTGATCCATTGCGGATAGAAAAGACTAGGAGATGATCGTTTTTTTTTTCTATTTTATCGGGTATTTTTTTTCTAATGTTCTAATTCGTTTTTGGAACCTAAGTGGTTGCAGTATTCTGAACAACAAATCCATTTATTGGTTTTTGTTTATTTGCTTATTTATTTACTTCTTTACTCACTTATTCATTTATCTATTTACAGTCCTCATCATTGCGGACCGGTGGGGCGTGTCAGCCAGTATGAGTGTGCACACTGTTGAAGCCGTTCTCAGCCTTTTTTGAAACGCGTATGCGACAAAAAGTGGTAGAAAACGAGTAATACGAAGGATATAATACAGTAATGTCACTTGCCCGCTTCAACAACTGGTGCAGAACGACTTTGGCCCCGCGCCAAACGCAGCCGCACTGAACCGCCCCGACAGTACGTAATGATGAGGACTGTATAATGCACGCAAAAGGCGCTATGAGGGATGGCCAGAAAAATTACCCTGAGCCATGAGAGGACAAGCGCATGTTACTGGTCAGGAGAACCACACAAGGAGGCCTTAAATGAATGAATGAAAGGCATGAATTTGAAACTCAGCAGGGATTAGAGGCAAAGTGCAAAAATGAGTTTTCAGCTTCCAGATGAGTTTGAACCACTTGCTCACTTCATTCTATAGCTCAAAAGAATAATGCTATAATACAAAGAACTCGCCAGGAATTGTAGTGGGGCACTGCACTCAAAAGCAGATTTAAGTGACGTTGGCTAAAACTGCCCAGTTAGGGATTAAAAGGAGTTTGACACAGCAAGGTCACTTTGAGCAATGTAAGTAATCGCGGTTTTTCCAGAACGAGCTGAAATAGTTGCCTCTTCGACCTAAACGCGAATTTCTGGCCAGGCACGCCGTGCAGTTGGGAAAAATTTTTGCAGAAGTACGACACTCACCAGAGGATTTCCTCCTCCGAAGCGAACCCCCTCGCCACTTTTCACGTTTTTTCGCATCCCCGCCTCAGGACTTGCCCTGCCTCGGGCATGGAAATCGAGCCCAACTAACCAGATATATAGATATCAATTATTTGTTACTTAGATGTCAGTATTATTATTCTTAGTATTGTTATATGTATTATGACCACTTCAGCACTATTATTACTATCATATCATCATTATCACTATTTTTATTTCTCTTTTTTACTCTTTTATTTTTTCTCTTTTATTTTCTATTTCTGCTCCTATACTTTTCTACCAAATGGTTCAGAATAGTTTAAATAAGGTGGAAATACAAATGGGTCATCGATGGGTTAAGTTAGCCTCTGCGGAGTATAGTTGGGCCGATTGGTCCTCGTTCAGGAGGCTTCTCTCCTACTGCTTTCATTTCAGCAAATAACGAGTGTGCCTTCAAACATCTGAACACTTGCGATGACAACGCCGACTGTGTTGATTCTCACGATGGATACACATGCCAGGTGAGGAAACCTTCCATTTGATTTGAATTATATGAAATACTTCGGCCCCTTTCCCAGTATTGTATTAAGGAATAGTTTTTGGAGATAATGACTATTAATTGAAAGTTTGTTTTGTTTCTGGCCTTCCATTCAAGGTAGGTAATCCCACTTCCTTGGCACTTTTATGACTTGGAGATTCCTGCGGGGAAGTCCTTTTGCGCACCTCCAACTTGGTCGGACGCTTCTTCGCTCTCCATTTTCCGCGTTCTCTCGTTAGGTCCTTACACGAACACCAAAAAGCTGGTTTGGAAGTCATGAGGGAAGTGGAGGTCTAGGGAAGGAGTACGTTGAGTGTTCAGTGGGTCTGTTCTGGAGTACCTATGGGAAGTTTGGGAGTTCTATTTATTACACAATGTTTGGAAGGACTTTAAAGTTTGAAAGTTCTTCCTCTACTCTTATTTCTCCTTCAGCATTCCCGGTAGGTATGAACTTCGAGTTATAGAGAGTTGACGGTACTATGTCCACGACAAGTCACTGCTAAACCGAAACGGCTTACGGCGATGTTCATAGATCAGCTTTTACTCAGATGGTCCCCTTTGCAGTGCTTCGCCGGCTTCGTCGATGTCTCGTCCAATGCAAATCTACCACCTGGCCGAGTCTGCACGGTTCAAACAACTTGTCCGAAACAGAAGACCGACTTGGTCTTCCTCATCGATGGCTCCGGATCTATCGGTTCCTTTGTCTTTAAGAACGAGGCAGGTTTTTTCTACAAAATATACTCAACGTTTCGCCTTCTTATCTATTACGCTATCCACCATTTTGCAGGTGCTTCGGTTCGTTCGAGAATTCGTGGAATTGTTCGAAATCGGCCTGGATCAAACCAGAGTAGCGCTCATTCAATACTCGGATCAAATCCGCCACGAATTTGACTTAGACCAGTACACGGACAAGGTTAGAAAACCCTAGGATAGCCTAGATTCAACATGAACTTTTGGAAGGCTTTCGCTTACTGTAGGAGTCGTTTTACTGAATTCCCGTGAATTTTTCCGTTTAAGGCCGCCGTTCTTCGAGCGATCACTGAAACCCAGTATCTCACAGGACTCACTAGAACTGGTGCTGCCATTCAGCACATGGTCCAAGAAGGCTTTAGCGAGCGACGAGGTGCCCGACCTCAAGCTCCCGATATCGCTAGGTTCGTTCCATCACTCTTTCTTCATGCTTCACATCTAATGATCACCTTCATTTTCAGGGTAGCGATCGTGCTCACGGACGGTCGTTCTCAGGACAATGTAACTGGACCTGCTGAGTCGGCTCGGAAGTTGAGCATCACTACCTTCTCCATCGGAGTTACCGACCACGTACTGGCCAGTGAGCTTGAAGCCATCGCTGGATCGCCCACACGGTGGTTCTACGTTGACAAGTTCAAGGTATTACTTGGTTAGATGCTTCCAGAAGTTTGCCATAGCAATAATTTTCGTCTTTCAAAAGATACGCTATCTGTCTGAAGGGCAGTAGAACTGAGATTCACGAGCGCCGCCGCGAGCGGTCGCGTCGCGTTTTTGCAGACGGATAAACTAGCGCTTCTATACTGGCAGCAAGCTGCGAACAAGTTATGTTCGCGTTGTAACAGCGAAAACTGAGCAGTTCGACTGAAATCTGTTTGCCAGCCTGCCAAGAGAGTCTACATCCGCAACGCGACCGCGCGCCGCTATTCCTGTTGATTCGGATGTCATGACATGGGCTGATAATTATAGGAATAATTTACGCTCGCCTGTTATTTAGCTGCTTTAGGACCTGGACACTCGTCTGCGTTCGATGATTCAAAAGGCAGCATGTCCTACTCCTGTGAAAACCGCATCTCCACCTCAAGGCACGTGCAATCCCCGAACCCAGACCGGTTGCGATCGTTCACTCAACGAATATTGCGCGGAAGAAAACGGACGGTTAGTTTTGAGTTCAAAGTATCAGTGATACGTCACTAAGAAGTACTGCTTGCAGGACTCGTTGCATCTGTCCAGCAGGCTTCCATCGTCATCCAACCACACGTGTGTGCGGAGGATCGCTGTGCAACCCACAACTTATCACGTCATGTATCTACCCAGAGGAATGTCTCATCACCCCCTATAATAACTACCGTTGCGCCTGCCCTGATGGCTATTCCAGGGATTATAGATCTGGGTTCTGCGGTACGTTCTTTCAGTTCTCATTAGATCCATGGGTGAACAAAGGAGTTTCAGTATCAGTGAAAGAAATTCACGTCTTCCCACAACATGATGCCGATTGTCACAATGGGGGTCAACGATGTGGTCAGAACGAGTATTGCACGAGCGACCGAACTGGGCACTGGTATTGCGAGTGCAAGACCGGGTTTGAACGCAATCACGCCGATGGGAAATGCAGCTATCCAGGTTTGTCGCCACTTCTCGAATACCCTGTTCCATCTATAACCATCTGCTGTTCCAGGTTCCTGCCTCCCGAATGTACCGAATTCCTGTGATATCCGAAAACGAGAGAAATGTCTACCGAACGGGTCGTTCTTCACTTGTCAGTGCGACGCGAAAGAGAGGCGACATCCCGTCACGGGAATCT